TTAACTTACTAAGTGGCAACATTGAAAATAAACTGGGACACGTGTCGAGATTTAAAGAGCCCATAAGTGGACACGTGTCGCCACCACAATTGTCTAACTCTCCCATATAAGATATAAGAGAGATATATAGGGTTGGGTTCACATGAGAATAGTTCTCAATGAAAGAAATAAGAATACATCACAACCATTGGATCAAACGATCTAAGGGATACAAGAAATCCAGTATTTATTTATTCATTAAGGGTATTTTGGACATTTTAATTATCTTATGTGGGATCCATGACAAATAATACTAACCCACATCCAATGATATAATGCCACATGGCCATTACACATCACACATCTCACACACTTTTATCTCTCACACACTGACACACACAACATTTAACACACACGTGACACACACAGTTCCACACACAAAAAACACACACAACCCAGGCGACACACACCACACATACACCTACCGCCGGCGAGAAAAACACACACTCACATCCGCCGGTGGTCACACACACACACACACAGTTGGCCACCATATGCGTCGCCGCCTCCCGGCGTGCCATCTCCGCGCGCGCCATAGCCGCCGCCGCATCTAATGTAATCTCCTCTGACTACTCCGCTTTCGCCGGCCATCTCAGTTCTTCTCCGGCGACCTTCCAACGGCGGGAAGCCTCTGATTCCTCACGATAGAGAACTCCATCGCTGCTCCTAATCATCTCCGGCGACCTCCATCCGCCGGTCGTTGGAAGGAGATCTGGCGAATGTAGTTGGAGACCTTCGAACGACGCCACCACCGGACGCTCCACCGCCTCCTGGAGTTCTAACCTCGGCATGGCCGGAGTGAGAAGAGGTGCTGGGGCGAATTCAAAGACTGAAAATGGAATTGGAGATTGGGCTATTTTTTTGAGAATTAGATAATGTATAGAGACTTATGTGTAATTTTAATAATTTTTATTATATTGCAATTTCACCCATGGGTCAAATCTATAATTATTGAAAGTTAATAAAAAATCAATTTGTTATATATTTTTTATGCATTTATATTAAAATAATATATAAATTATTAAATTAAAAATAAAATAGGATATTAAGATAGAAAAGGAAAAATAATGTAAAGAAAAAATGGTGCTGACGAATGACGGTAGACACAAAATGGTGCATTTGATTTATTTATTATATTTTTTTAACACATTATTTGTTTTTTATCATTATTGTGCTTCTTAAAGGCGGGTGGCCTTTGACTTCGTGGAAAAAGAATTTCAATGCACCCCATGTTTTTTAATTTTGCTTCCTTCCATTGTAACATATTATATATTCTTGATTTATGTCTTACTCTATTGAATTTTCAGTTGCACTTTATAAAATAACATGTTGCACTTTATAAAATAATAAGTTACACTTTATCATTGTCTATCTAAAAAAATACAAGTATGTTTACATACCAAAATTAATACGTTGCATTTTATACAGTAATATGTTACATAAACAGCATTTTACAACGTATAAAACCACACGCTACACATACTAACAATTCATTAATATCGCTAATATGTCGAATAATATTAGTCGGTTAACTGTCAAATTTAGATTTAGTGTTTTTTAAATAAATAAGTAAATTATATGATAAAAATAATAAATAAAAATATATTTTAATTATTTAGGTTAATCCGATGTACAATTGAATCTATTAAAACTAATTGTCGCACATAATTTATTTAGGAAAATTAGGGAAGATATAAAGTAATGCACTTTATAAAACAACACAGTGCACTTTATAAAACAACATGTTGCACTTTATCACCACACCCCCAACAATTAATGTCAAACAACTACTGCCAAAATATTACGCAATATAAATCTAAAAAACGAATCTACATAATGCTTTAATACTCGTCATATCATATATACACAAAAAAACACAAGCATGCTAACGTACCAAACATTATTGCACTTTATATATTAATACATTGCAATTTATACATAGATACTTTGCACTTTATAACATAACATGTTGCACCTATAAAACGACACGCTACACGTACCAAAAATATAGTAAATCTGCTAATTGATCGAATAAATTAGTTGGTTAAATGGCAAATTTATATTTTTTTAAATAGAACAAGTAATATAACATGCCGAGCTATAAGAAGATTATTACAATTTTTTTATTTATATATTTATGAAATAATAATACTATTTTTTTATCTATAATTTTTATGTGTTGTGAGTGCACATTAAAGTTATACGGATTGCACATGAATGTCTACCATATTGCACAAAATCAAACGAGAAGCAACAAACATAAATTTTAACATTCCGGTTGATCGGTTCGACCAAACCGACCGATGAACATTACTGTGCATTCCGTAGTGTCTACCATCAATATCAATATTGTGTACGTTTTTTTATCATTATTGTGCATTTGATGTATTTATTATAA